AAAGCAGCCCCAGACCATCACACTACCACCACCATGTTTGACTGTTGGTATGATGTTCTTTTTATGAAATGCTGTGTTGGTTTTACGCCAGATGTAACGGGACACACACCTTCCAAAAAGTTCAACTTTTGTCTCATCAATCCACAGAATATTTGCCCAAAAGTCTTGGGAATAATCAAGATATTTTTTGGCAAATGAGAGACGAGCGTTTTTGTTCTTTTTGGTCAGCAGTGGCTTTTGCCTTGGAACTCTCCCATGGATGCCGTTTTTGCCCAGTCTCTTTCTTATTGTTGAATCATGAACACTGACCTTAATTGAGGCAAGTGAGGCCTGCAGTTCTTTAGATGTTGTTCTGGGTTCTTTTTGACCTCCTGGATGAGTCGTCGTTGTGCTCTTGGAGTAATTTTGGTAGGTCGGCCACTCCTGGGAAGGTTCAACACTGTTCCAAGTTTTCTCCATTTGTGGATAATGGCTCTGGCCCTGGTTTGCTGGAGTCCCAAAGCCTTAGAAATGGCTTTATAACCCTTTCCAGACTGATACATGTCAACTATTTTGTTTCTCATCTGTTCTTGAATTTCTTTAGATCGTGGCATGATGTGTTGCTCTTTAAACATGCTTCACTTTGTCAGACAGGTTCTATTTAAGTTCTTGAATCAACAGGTCTGGCAGTAATCAGGCCTGGGTGTGGCTAGTGAAATTCAACTCAGCTTTCTAAAATAATGTGGTTAATCACAGTTCTTTAATGATTTAACAGGAGGGGGCAAATATTTTTTCACGTAGGGCCAGGTAGGTTTGGACAGCTTTTTTCCCTTAATAAATTAAATCATCATTTAAAAACTGCATTTTGTATTTACTTGCATTATCGTTGTGTAATATTAAAAATTGTTTGGTGATCTGAATCTTTTAAGTGTGACAAATATGCAAAAAATTTAAAAAAAAAACAGGAAGTGGGCAAAATCCTTTTCACGGCACTGTATATGATTAAAGCTCTGTTTTTATGGTGGTGGGCAAACATATAATGCAATCGCAATGAAATAATAACAAATAAATCAACGAATAAACGCTCCACAAAAACCTGATGTACTTGATGTGCATGATTTTTCTAAAACTCGCGCATAGATAATCAAGTAAACCTAAATGGCTTCAGTCCAGTAAGTGTTCATCTCGAAATATTACTAACAATATAAAAGTTATTCTTACATATACAAGATCATAAATGAGACATATAACACAACCTGAAGTGAGAACATTTAAATGATACTTAAAGGCCTTTTACTTACTAAAAAATATGAACTTATCAATCAGATGACAGAAGGCATGTAGTAGATTGTGTACAACAGGTTTTTCAACAAAGTTTTGATCATGTTGATAATTTAGAGGCCTTGGAAATTTGCGCATCAAATATGGTACAGTAAGATTTATACGGTTAAATGATAATGGATGAGTGGGCATATATAGCCGCTTTCACACAGCTATTGCTGCTTAAGAGAATCCATTTAGTATTTCACATTATCAAAAGGATACAAAACTTGTGCAGAAGCATCTGGAAACACAGTGAGAAATTTATCTCCATTAGAGTAGTACTTCTCCAAGAAACTTGAATTGTACTGAAAAAAGAGACCAGAGCGTTTAGTTCAAGCACATGATGATACAACTTTCTAACACAGTAAATTATGGTCAGTTACCTGGTGATGTGTTAAACCAAACTGAATTGACCCCGGATCTGAAGACTCATGTGTCCATTGTCCAGAGGTCTCGTCCACATGCATGTACTCTTTATCTTTACAAACATCCTCATTGGGTGGACAGTTAGAGAGCCGGAAACTGATGACTGTTTTATCATGAGGCACATCTGGGGAAAGAAACCATTCATTTACCTCATCAACATCTCTGTAATATCACATCACACACAAACTAATAATTTCACACTATGAGAAACAGGTGTTTGAAGTCATTCAAACATTTAGTGGGTGTTATACAGTACATCTGATATTCACATTCAATTTTATCCTACGTATTAAATAAATAAACAAATCAAAATGTCTAAACAGTGGAAATGGTTTGATTTTAAATGCCGGCTTGTGAAATATGAAAGCACTTTTATTTTCCCTTTACTACAGTGACTGGCAGGCATACACTCTGGCAAAAGACTTTCCAGGTATGTTACGGAATAATGATTTTTATCATTATTTTGACATTTTCTGTAATATCATTTACACATGATATGATGTAATGGAATATAGTCTCAGTGCATATAATATTGTCCATGATAAAAAAAAAAAATATTTTAAAAGTTTAAAATGCCTGTGCCAAATTCTTAGAAATGTAGTCTTTGCATTGTTGGCGTCAACGTTTATACCATTAAAAAAAAAACGTTAAAACTTAACAACACATAAAAATTGTATGTAATCTTGGTGTAACCATCAAGTAAAATTGAATTACATTGAATACATGTACACTAGGGTGGCCCTTATTTTTGGACTTGCGAAAATCCTCTGTTCTCACCCACCCAGTCAACTCTCCAAATGGAAACAAACCAAATTTCGCTCAACAAAGTTGAAATTCTGTCTTAATGACCATAATAGCATGTAATTAATAATTATACAAAACCATTAGTAAACTGTGAATTAGGTTAAAAATGAGAACACGGAACAGTGTTGCTAGTCTTAAAATGTTTAATTATGTTTAATTGTGCCGATAGTCTTGTGGGTGCCATTGGGCTTCAGATGTCCCGAGTTCGAGTCCCGGCTCACGGACCTTTCCCGATCCCATCCCCTTCGTTTCTGTCCACTGCCAGCCATCCAAGTGCACACATACAGCAGTAAGTAGTGAACACTGCTCACACACACCCGGAATAGTGAGCAGCCATTTACACCAGCGCCAGCTGAAGCTGTTGTGGGCTCCTCTGTGCCTTGCTCAAGGGCACCTCAGTTGTGGTTACTAAAGGTACCGAAACTCGAACCCACGACCTTCAGGTTACAAGTCCGACTTTCTAACCATTAGGCCTCGACTGCTCCCACCTCTGATATCAGAAACGGTCAAAATTTTATCAGTGAACAAAAACTTCGCTAATATCACCAATTAGCTCTTGAAGTACCTGTTGATAAAAATATCAACCCCCCCAATAAGGCTCACCCTAACGTTCACATCAATATTTAAAGTGCCCCTATTATGGGTAATGAAAGGTTCATATTTTGGTTTTGGGAGTCCCCAACAACAGGTTGACATGCATGCAAGGTCAAAAAACACTTTGTCTTATAATATGCATTTATTTTTACCTTACTTGCTCAACGACTCCCAAACCATTCACTCAACGATTCATTTTTCCAAACCCCTCCTTTGCATGACGCTAATCTGTGGTGATTGGTCCGATTGGTCTCATTTTCATGTCATCATGCCTGTAATGCCTGATAAAGCAGCATTTGTGAACACAGTGCTGCTTTGTGTACAGCGTTACCGGGGAAACAGCTATTTTTACCGCTCCTAAAGCGGCACCTAGTGGCAAAGAATGAATTTAGGCGGGCAATATGCTAATGTTTCATGTTGACGTCAACATGAAACGGCTTGGGATTCGTTTTAAAAACGACTCGTTTCAATGATTCAGAGTTGACTCTTTCTTTTGAAAGACAATAACTTTATACACAGAGCACTTTCAGATTTAAAACTTTGCAGGATGTTTTCATTCACTTAGAGCTGTGTTACACACTGCATGAAATGTAATTTTCAAAAATCCATAATAGGGGCACTTTAAAAAAAATGTAAATATATTTCATATTATCATCTTATTCACTGAAGAAGTCCTGAATCAGACATCACTAAAACTAATCCAAATGTGTGTCTGTTTACCACACAAATTTACTGTACGACTTCAGATTTATAGAATATAGTCATATGGACCACTTTTGTTATGCTTTTATTGTGATGTTTTATTGTATAACAGGTAGTAAATAATGACAAAATTTAGCATTTTTTGTTAATGGTCCATCCATGGGCATCCTGTCCAACACATGTGGATACTCACTGTTGTTTGATGCCAATAAACTGGAGTGAGCATCTCTGTCATATCTCTGCATCTCTCTCTGCTGCTGTCTGAAACTAAGCCAAAGGTGGGAATAAACAAGTAAACAAAATCATTTAATTCTGTGGAAGCATATTTTACATTTTCATAATATGATTAAGTTACAACAAAGTAGCCTATATGCCATGTCAGTATGTAAGATTTTTTTTTAAATGTTTTTGAAAGAGGTCTATTATGTCTATTATGTTATTTGCAGTGGCCTTGAGACAAGTTTTTTAAGGAAACGAAGAACAGAATTTATTTCAAATAGAAATCTTTTGTAAGTTTATAAATGTATTTCCTGTCAGTTTACCATCTTTACTGTGTCACTATCAATTCACTGCATCCTTGTTAAATAAAGTTATAAGTTTATAAAAAAAAAAAACTGATGCCAGAACATAAGTGTATTGTACAACACAAACCTGCGTTTTCCTCTTTCTTGTGCTTTATCTTGTAGTTCTTCGTCCTCAGTGATGAAGGGGTCATCTAGTCGAGCAGGTCCACTAGGCCTTGCATCAGAACGTTTCATAGCTAGATGCTTTTCATGGACCACAATCTCAAACAACTCTCTGTATTCCTCACAGCAGAAGTCCTGAAGTCCAATTAGATGATCATAAACTCAAGGGGAAAAAAGTGCTGAAGCAGTAAGTGTTAGTGTCAGCTGCATTCTTTCTCAAGAGACGAACCTCTCGTGTCTCTGCATAAACCGGATCCAGAGGCGGCCAAGCTCTCGAACCACAGAACTGACAGCATATTGGAGAGTCCACTTGCTTTTGGGGCTGGGTAAAAACAACAGTGTTGGGGGTAACGCATTACAAGTAACGAGAGTTACATACTCAGATTACTTTTTTCAAGTAACTAGTAAAGTAACGCATTATCGGAGTTACTTTTTCAAATAAGTAACGCGTTACTTTTTTTTTCCAATTTATTGATTAGCTCTCCTGTCCCCATGTTGAGAGAAATCAGAAGATGTTACTGTAGTTCTAAAATAAATATGAATATGCATTAAT